TGTCCCTCACTCCTCCCCAGGCCAGCCTCCTCCCAATGCGGTGTTTCCCAGGGTGGCCATTTCCAGTGTGGCATGCCCAGTGTGGCAGATCTGAGTGATCCTACACCCACTGATTTAATGACGTTTTCTTGAGAATTTTTGCATCTATATTCATGAGGAATGTTAGGCTGTAGCTTTCTTTCTGTAAGGAAGGTCTTTGTCTACTTTCGATGGGGGGTTGGGGAAGAAGGCGTTAGGCCTCTAAAATGACTGAAAAGTGTTTCCGCCTCTTCTATTTTCTGTAAAAGTTGGCGTCAAGTTGGTATTATTTCTTCCTTAAATCACTCTGTATTAAACTTGCAGCGAAGCCATTAGAATCTGGGGTTTTCTTTGTTTGAGGTTTCAGTTTTGAATTCATTTTTTGCAGTCGGTATTGGGCTGTTTCTGTCGACTTCTTGAGGGAAGCTTTGGTAGTCTGTGCCTTCCAAAGAACTGGCCCTTTTCATCTACATTATTAACTTCATGACAGAAGTTGAAGTCTGGATTAGCCACACACACGTGAACCGCTCACCTAAGGAGACACGGAGAACAAAGGACAGAAATTCTGGCCCCGGAGATTATCAGACATTCATGAAAAATGTTGGGACTTTCTGAAAGGAAATAGATTATTAAAGGTACAATTATGCACAAAGATGTGAAGGCAGTCTTACTCTAAAAATTTGGAAATCACATAAATGTCAAATAGAAGACTGTGCTTAATTCTCTTGATAGGAGAGAGAGCGTGTACACAGAGTGAAACACGCATAGCGGATCAAGAAAGGAACATAACAGAATAATATTGCTTTGTCTACGGAGAATTTTTCTTCTTCTTTTTTTTTTTTTTATTAAATTTCCAGTGTGTGTGTGTGTGTGTGTGTGTGTGTGTGTGTGTGTGTGTGTTTAGTTTTTGAGACAGGGCTTCATGTATCCCTAGCTGGCTTCAAACTTTCCGTGTAGTTCCGGATGATCTTGAACTTCTCATCCTCCCACCTTCATTTTCTAAGTGCGGAGGTTACAGACATGTGCCCCATGCCTGGTTTTATACAGTGCTGGGATCGGACTCAGAGATTTAAGGCAGCCAGGCAAGCATTTGCCAACTGAGCTACATCCCCAGGCTCTCGGTTATTTATATATACATATAGGTATGTATACATAGATACATAATACATATTTAATGAGGAAAAATCTAGCAGGGGAAAAAAAATCAGTATTTTCCTTTGTCTCTAGCGGAACATGACTAGTTCTTATCAAATGGGATCCAACATAGAGCCTCCTCAAAAATGTGGTGATGAGCTAGACTTCGTTCCTCACATCTGTAATTCCAGCACTTTTAAGGCTGAGCCTTAAAGTTCCCAGCCAGCCTGAGCTAGAACCGAACAAACAAAAAATTGAAAAGAAAGCTCCACCCTCAGACAACACCAACAAAAACAAAGCAGCAATGTACTAGGAGTTGAGGTCTGAAGGGTGTTGCCCTGGATGGTCTTCTTTTCTAGAAGCTTCCAGTCTCTCTGCTAATGACCTCCAAGGATGCCTTTGCCCTCTACTTGCAGGGCAGGGCACCTGGTTTTGCTCTTCAGGCGTGGACTCCATGTCAACTCTCTTCACTGACATTCTGTCCTAAAAGCCTTTTGCAGAGGACCCTCCTCAGGCACCGAAGCTCACAGGACCCTCTTCTCATTGGCAATAATGCCAGGATCCCTGGACTGTGAGCATTCTCCCTCTTGTGGCCATCACCTCCAGACACACACAGAGAGAAAGTGGCCTCTCACAGAAGGAAAGCTCGGTAAGATCTCACTGTCTTGACCAGTTCTGCTATAATCTAGGACTCCCACCCTTGCAGGGGTCGCTATAAGGTTTGTGGCAACTGACACTGGGCCACTGACTAGGTCCTTTAACTCTGTGTCTCTATAAAGGAAGAAGCAGAAGGTTGGGAAAGGAAACGGAAAGAGAGGGACAGGGATAGGGGAAGAGTAGAGAGTGGGCAGAGAAAAGGAAGGGGAGGAGATGAGAGAGAAGAGGAAGAGAAAGGAAAGGCAAAGAGAAGGGCCGCAGAAAGAACCGGGAGAGGGCCTAAGGACTTAGCTTGGTAGTGGAGCATTTGCCTCAAATGTGAGGCTCTGGGCTCTGGAGTCCCGAGAGCCACTGTATGATGGTCTGGTACAACCATCCGTGGATCAGAAACGGCAGCTTGCAGACCACCTTCTGTCTTAGTGTTACTATTGCTGTGATGAAACACCATGACCAAGAGCAACTTGGGAGGAAAGGGTTTATTCACTCACAGTTTCATATACTAGTTCATTATCAAAAGCAGTAAGAGCAGGAACTGAAATAGGTCAGGAACCTGGAGGCAGGAGCTGATGCAGAGGCCATGGAGGGGTTCTGCTTACTGGCTTGCTCCCTCTGACTTGCTCAGCCTGCTTTCTTATAAAACCCAGGACTATCAGCACAGGGGTGGACCCCACAAAATGGGCTGGGCCCTCCCACATTAATCACTAATTTTAAAATGCCCTAGGCTTGCCCACATTCTTATAGGGGCCTTCTCTTCTCTTCTCTTTCCTATCCTTTTGTTTTGTTTTGGGGTTTTGTTTTTTTGAGATGGGGTTTCTCTGCGTAGCCCTGAATGTCCTGGAACAATGTAGACCAGCCTGGCCTTGAGCTCAGAGATCCACCTGTCTCTTCCTCCTGGGTGATGAGATCAAAGGTATGTACCACCATCGCCTGACTGGAGGCATTTAATTGAGAGTTCCTTTAAAGATGACTTTAGCTTGTGTCAGGTTGACATAAAACTTTCCAGCACACTTTCCTCCTGAAATTGCCTCTCCTCAAGCCTGCTATCCACACTGTCAAAGAGAGACCCATGACAACCATGCCCTCCCAAAACCACTGTCCTTAGTACTACAAGGATGGCTGCCCTCTGCTGGGCTGGCCCCACACAGCCTTGGGACCTTTCTGACTCACTGCCCATCCTGGAGCAGAGACAGTGTCAAAAGCTCTGGCCCTCTGACATGAGGCACTGCCAATGGTAGGCTCTTCCTCCTACTCCAAACCAGGGGGTCTGGCTCACAAAGATGTCTGCTATGGGCAGGGTGACCCTACCCTGAATAATCCTACTCTAGCACTTAGAGTCTAAGGGTCAATGAAACCTATGGAACATGAAATGTGGGACAACTAAAAAAATAGAAAAATGTGCTGTTAAGGCATATAAAAATTTCCCTGTAAAATATTTTGTTTTAGGCCAGCAAGATGGCTTCATGGGTTAAAGCACTTGCTGACAAGGCTGATGACCTGAGTTCAATCCCTAAGATCCACAGAAGGGTAGGCGAGGACCACCTCCTGTGAGCTGTCCTCTGACCTTCACTGCGCGCACGCACCCTCACATACACACACATATAAAACAAACAACTGAATCGAGTGGAGTTTTCCTTAAAGGTAAGTCATTTCACTCCAAACAGAATATAAATTGAAAATAGAACCTTTTTCACACAACACATGAAACTTTCCCCTGATCCATTTCCCCTCTTTCCACTCCTAGATCTTCCCCACCTGCCCACCCACCCAGATCCTTGCCTTTTCTTTCTCCTTTTCACTAGAACTGAAACAGGCATCCAGCCAGAGAGCGGTTGGTCACTCCCAAACTTCTGTGCCATTATTGCACTAGTGTAATGTGCAGTCAGGTCAGCATACATCGAAGGGTTTGTAGCTGGGCTGGCGTTTATCTGTCTTCTCCGGTAGCTTGCAGAACATCTTTCAGGACCGTGAACACTCGTCAGTAGGGGTGAGGGCTCTAGATAGGCACCAGCTTGACTTTTCTGTGTCCAATGGATTATGTAGGTGTGTCTTCAGCAATAGGGCCTTATGATCAGTTTGTAGAAAGCAACCTGTAACCTTGGAAACAGCCTGGGTTATTTGGGGTTTCCATGGGGCCCTTTTGGCACTGGAGGTTTCATTTGCTGGTGAGAGATGTCTAGCTGGGGATTTATCTCCCCTGTTATTCCTTGATTCCATTTTAGATTTCTTAAAAGATTTAGAAAGCTCCTGTTGTAGTTGGTTTCCATATAACACCTCAAAAGGTCCTTAGTCTTAGCTATCCTTCCCAATACTCCTCCCCCAGTTTCTTTCCCATCCCTATTTAATTTTCTCATTCCAGCCTCCTCCCTCCCAGCTCATCCATAATTATATATCTATATGTTATAGTTCCTTTTTCTTGGGAGAGCCTTCCCTCCCACCTATTCCCTTATTTTATACGTCATTCTAACCTCTGTGGTTATATGGATTGTAGCTTGCTTATTAAAACAACAACAACAACAACAACAACAACAAAAAACTGCCCCATTCTCGCCAATAAACAATCCATACAGAGAAAAACTAAACAGAGGAATTCTGGAGCTAACTGATGTCACAAATCATTTTACCTGGCATATATTTATAGAACATTTCATCCAAACATAAAGTGTACCTTTTTCTCAGCAATTCATAGAACTTTCTCCAAAACTGACTATGTATGGACAGACACAAAACAACTCTCAACAGATGCAAGAAAATTGAAATAACATCCTGTATCCTATCTGACCATCATGGATTAAAATCAGATATCAACAACAGAAAAAGTAATAGAAAACAGAAACCGAACAATTCATCCCTGAATGAAAAATGGGTCAAGACAGCTATCAAGAAAGAAATTAAACGCTTTTTAGAATTGAATTAAAATGAAAACGCAACAACCCAAACGTATGGGTCTGATGAAGGTGGTTCTATGAATGTGCTGGAGAGATGGCTCATTGTTAAGAGCTTTGGCTGCTCTTCCAGAGGACCCAGGTTCCATTCTCAGCACTCTCATCAGGCGGCTCACAGCATCTGTGACTCCAGCTTCAGGAGACCTCACACCTCTGTGTCCCGCCCCACAGGACTCAGTTATTCGTGGGGGCGAAGGGGGTCAATCCTGGAAAAGATGGGGGAGAGAGAGAAAGGACACAAGCAGACAGTTGCCGGTCAAGTGTCTCTTTTATTGAACTTTGGTGTTTCTTTTAAAACATGGTTTTGGCAGGGCGGGGGAGAGGGGCGAGAAAGGGGAGTAGTAGTGGAAAAATACCAAGACCCTTGGTGAGAAGTTCCCAAGGCTAAGAAGGTGGGTTAAAGAGTTACAAGGCCCGAAGATAACATCGGTGGTCACATCGGTGGTCACATCGGTGGTCACGAATGTGTCCCAAAGCAAACAGTTTTGGGAACAATGGGTTGTAAGAAGCTATGGCCTGCTGGCGCTCGGTGCTTATCTGGCAGGTCAGGCCCTTAGGGAGGGTCCCAGGGCTTTGCTCCCAACACCGCTGGCCTCTGTGGGCACCTGACACTCATGTGTACATGTTGACACAGAGAGTGGACATGTCAGCAAGGAGTCAGGGTCCCTTCAGCAGCTTCACCGGGTCAGTGTAAAGATGACGAAACTGAGGTCAAGAGCAAGGCTACAAAAGAGAATAAGTAAGATCCAGGGACAAAGACCTCTCTTCCCAGCATGCACTTGGGCTTCAAACTCTGCTCTGAACTCACTTGCCTTCAGTTCAGAAAGTGGTTGCTCCTGTCAGGAAAGGTCAGAGTCCTTGATTAAAGCAACTCGTGCTCTAGCAGGTGGTTAGCTCTCTTTGGTGAGGACTGGACAGTGACTCCGTGGCGCCCACTTAGACTGTTTCTCAGGATATGATGTGACGCCTATGTCTGGTGTGCACAACCCAGCAGAAACCCCTCTCTGGACTCGGGATCCAGGAAACCTGAATCCCATTCCTAATGTTTTCATAGGCAAGCAGTGTGACCCTTCTCTATATACAGTGTGGTGCCTTCCTCTCTATATGTCTTAAATCTCCTACCCGACATTGAGACTAACAGTCTCCCAAGTTCTGTCCCATGTTAGGGTAAGTACTATCTATAGCCCCATTTCACAGTTGCAGAGAATGAGGCAGTCGGGGGTAGGTGATCCGCACAGGCTTCCCAGAGAGTGAGCACTGCAAAGGCCCAGGGCTGGAAAACAGGCAAATCTATCTTCACTAAGATCACTGCTGGAAGAGTGGAGCTAGGCCAGTGACTAGGGACAGAGAGGCTCCTTGTAAGGCTTAGAGATGTGGAGGTATGGCCTGGGCTATAGCTGGAACCCTTATGCTGGTCCCTAGTTCTGTCTATGGGCACAGTCGTGGACAGGTCTCCGTGGAGTTCAGGGCTCTTCCTTGTGTTTCCAGGCTCTGGCAGAGGGCTCACAGGGCAGTGGGATGAAGGGCTGGATGGCTGAGGATTAGCTGCCGGGTAGGGGTCCGCTTAATAGATTGGCTCCCTCAGACCTGCTGCTGCTGAGCCCCAGGATTATCGTGTATTTACAACCCTGCTTCTCTTTAGCAGTGATTTAAAGACACTTATCTGCAAAGCCTCATGGTGCTCCTGGGAGTTAAACCAGGAGGTGAGGTCTGGCTTACAGGCCAGGGGTGGGCCTAGGGCAGGGATAGCAAGATTAGAACCTTTTTCTTGAGGCCTATTGGTGCCTCAAGAGACCCTGCAAAGACAACCCACTATCATCTCCCAGGATCTGTGACTTGAATTCTCTCCATGGGGGATATTGAAAGTAGGAAAGGGGCATTTTTTTTTCTGGCCAGCAGAGACTGTTTAAAGTCTTACTGTTAATATTTAAGCCTGGGAAGTGTTGGGACAATGAGCTCATGAGCTGCTGCTGGGACAAAAAGCCGATGGTGAGTGCATGTTTGCTTGACATCCGTCCAGAACTGTGTGCATACAGGCACCGAACAACAAGCACCACGATGCTGCGATGGCACAGCGTGTAACACCCCCAAACCAGTTGCTGCAGGATGGGTGTGATTGGAAGGGCACCCCCGACAGGTGGAGCCTCCTAATTCTGCCTTGTGACCTCTGTGAGGTCTTCACTTGTTGGAAGAGTCCTTGAGGCGACTACACACTTAGGATATGTGCACAGGACCGTAACCACTGTTGAGATGGCTCAGCAGCTCTCTCTGTTTTTATTGCTGTCATCAAACATCGTGACTAAAGCTGCTTGGTGAAGAAAGAGTTTCTTTTGGCTTACAATTCTCTGGTCACTCTGTCACTGAGGGGGGTTCAGGGCAGGAACTCAAGGCAGCAACCTGGAGGCAGGAAGCATTAGAGGAGTGCCGCTTACTGGCTTGCTCCCATGGCTTGTTTATTTTGCTTTCTTTCAGAACCCAGGGCCACCTGCCCATGGGTAAAATCACCCGAAAGAGCCAGGCTCTTGCATGTCAATCTCTTAATCAAGAAACTGTCCTATAGACTTGCTTACAGCCCAATCTTACGGAGGCATTTTCTCCATTGAGGTTTCCTTTTCTCAGATTATGTCAAAATGAACAAAATCCCCCAACCAGGATAGCAGGTAAAGGTGCTTGCTACCAAGCCTGGGTGACCTGAGTTCAATCACAGTGGAAGGAGAAAACTGACTCTTGCATATTGTCATCACACACACACACACACACACACACACACACACACACACACTGAGAGAGAGAGAGAGGCAGGCATACATCATACAGACACACACACTTGCATATACATATACAAAGGCACACACACTCACACATACATACACAGATACACATTATTAAAAAATCAATAAATCTTAAGGTGTTTCTTGGGCACATGACAATGAGGGACTCATAGCTGGACAGGACAATGAAGGATTCCTAGCACAGAAATCCCCAGCCTTTTCTTCCAGCTCTCTTCAGGCATCCTTGCCTGTCTCTCAAGTCACAATCATGTGTTCTCACCTGGAAGGATATTGTTTCCAAGTAACAGAGTCCCCTGAAACTCTTTAACTGTGGAACGCTCTGAGAGCCACTGGCATACGCTGGCAGCTGGCCTCCAAGGACAAGAGACAACACGTTCAAGGTCATACATGAGATCCGAGTGCAGGAGACACAGCTGCTAAACTGGGACGCAGTGCCATGAAACCTAAGAAAAGTGACCCCAGCTCCAGGAATACACAGATAGAAGTTTCCCGGGGACTTGAGGACAGATGGTGTTTTAGATGGCAACAAGACAAGAAATCCTCGCCCCACTGTGGTGGGAAGGAACAGGCCACAGCTGTAACAATACTCTCTGCTCTTTCTGAAAACACCTCTTAATGTGTCCAATGTTTATCAGTCCGGTTCCCGGCATACCACACTTAGTTGCTTGTCTTCTTTTAAAAATTAATTAATTTATATTTATTTTATGTGCATTGATGTTTAGCCTACATGTAGGTCTGTGGGAGGGTGTCAGATCTTGGAGTTACAAACAGTTGTGAGCTGCCATGTAGGTGCTGGGAATTGAACCCTGGTCCTCTGGAAGAGCAGCCACTGCTCTTAACTGCTGAGCCATCTCTCTAGCCCTTGGTTGTTTGTCTCGATAGCTTTGTTTGTCTCGATAGCTTCGTTTGTCCTAACAGGATCCAGAGGTGTGCCAGGGTCTGCTGTTGAGTAAAATAGTGGTTGCGGCCAAAATGGCACAGTAGTGTTCAGAAGGATGCTCCTGTGTGAAGCCCTCACAGCCCCCCCCCCCATTCTCAGATTGTTCTTATCCATCTTAAATTTCACACTGTCGATGAGAGCAGGATAAAAATGAGGGGTGAGTTTTGACAAATGAAAGAGACATGAAGGGGCACCCAGGGAAGTGAGCACCTCTCAGCGAAGACAGAGGGCAAGGGAGCTGCATACCTGAGCACAGTATAGTCTCCGCTGCTTGAGGGCTTGCCCAGGCCTGGAGGAGTCGCCTCTGAGCGCACACCTGGATGCTGGCATCCTGGAAGGAGATCTTGGCTCCCTGAAAGGTAATTACCTCCAAAGTCAGATGGGCAGGCCAGCTGGTGACACAGATCAACCCTAATGTCTTACTTGCTTTCCTATAGCTGTGAAGAGACACCATAACCAAGGCAACTTATAGAAGAAACAGTTTATGGGGGCCTTTCAGTTTTAGCGTCCATGACCATTATGGCGGCAGGCAGGCATGGTGCTAGAGCAGTAGCTGAGAGCTCACAGCTGGTTCGCAAGCTTGAGGCAGAGGGATTGCTAACTGGGAATGGCATGGACTTTGAAACTTCAAAATCCACCCCCAGCGACAACCCCCCACACACACAGGGCCACACCTCCTAATCCTTCCCAAACAGTTCCCGTTACGATATAAATATTACATACCAAAAAACAGGTATGGTACAAGGAAGTTTATTGCCGAAAGGACAGGGGAGAGAGGGAGAGGATTTACCATCTGAGTGAGCCATGAGAGAGACAGTGGATAGTGTGTGAGAGCAAAGTGGGAAGGGAGGGACAGAGGGACAGAGAGACAGGCAGAGGGCGTGTGCCGTGATGGGCTGGTTCTTTATATCTGGTGCACAGCTGAAGTGTGTCTGGCACACGCCTGGTGGCGGCCGGTGATGACATCAGGTTGGTAGATTACCTGGGAATGGGCTAGGGCATGGGCTTGTGAGCTAAGAGTTCCACTAACTGGGACCAAGAATTCAAACATGGAAGTCTGTAAGGGCCGTTCTCATTCAAATCACCACACCAAATACAATGTCAGAGAAGCCATAATATAATCAGGGTTTATCTACCACAAGGCAGGAGGGAATTAGGGACAACATGAAGGTTAGACATATTATTCTTAGTATTTTTCCTTTCTTTCTTGTTTTGTTGTTGTTGTTTTTGTTTTTTATACCAAACATCAGATTTATGATAGAACTCAGTGTCAGAATGCTTGCCTGGTGTGTACTAGACCTTGGTTCCATCTCAGTCTAAACAAACAAACCTCAAACCAAAACAAAAAAATCACTACCACCATCAAGAAAACATCAAATTGTCATATACACCAAACTATTGTATTCATCAGCATGCGTGTGACTCAAGAGCCTCCAGCCAGACCTCGACGGACAATGGAACCGTACAGAACCAGGAAGCAGAATCTCCCATTGTGCTTGGCCGAGAACAGCTCCCCAAAGCCTCATTCCTGCCTTCTGGAACCTGGCAATGGTACCCCAGGCGGTCAAAGGGTCTTTGCAGACACAGTTGAGCCAAAAATGTGACAATTAGGGCTGGTGAGATGGCTAAGAGAATAAAGGTTCTTGTCTCCAAGCCTGATGACCTGAGTTCAGTCCTGAGAGCCCACACGGTAGAAGGAGAAAAATGACTCCCACAAGTTGTCCACTGATCATCACACATGTACTGCCTCGTGTACAGGCACACACACACACACACACACACACACACACACACACACACATAAATAAATGTGGTTTTAAAAAAGTTTTTAAATTTAAAATTAATTTTTAAAATTTAATCCCCCCAAATTAGGAGGCTATCACGAATTAGCCAGATGGGACCTGCCTGCAGTCACCCATGTCCTTACGAAAAGAAAGTGAGGGACATCGGATGCTGACAAATACAACTCTAGAACAACTCAAGCACAGGAGGGAGTGACATGCAAGGAAATGCTGGCAAAGCCGCTACAGGCCGGGTGACAGCTCTTCCTAAGCCTTAGGAAGGAGCATGGCTCCTTCACACCTACGGGATTGGCCCAAGTGAGGTGGATAATTGACTTCTAACTTGCAGGCTGTAAGAGACCAGATGTGTGTTATTGTAAAGTGGAAGCCATGCCCCAACCACCCTCCCCCAAGCAACCAACCCAGAAAACTATACTGTCATCTCTTGAAAAAAATGGGCAAGCTGAGAGCAAGAACTTCCCCCCAGGGCTATCAAGCTGAGTGTGTCCAAGGTCCCAGGCCTAGAAGCTTCTGTTGCAGGCAATGCTCTTCACCAAAGCCGCTGAACCTTTGTGCAAGGCGATGAATTCGTTTCCTGCATGTTCAAGCGATATCAAGTGGCACTAGCCTTCCTAGGTCACTCGTTAGTGCTAGGCTTTGAGGAGGGAGAGAAGTAGTTTGAAAGGGATATTGAGTCAAATCGTCCTTCAGGGAAGACGTTTATTGACACAGCAGCTGACAGGAGGGAAGGAGGCTGAAGTAAGAGGTTTCAGCCCCAAAAGACAAAGCAGGATGTCTGCTTTTAACAGTTTCTGAGTTGGGCTAGAGAGCAAGAGAGAGATGGCTCAGTGGTTTAGGGAACTTGTTGCTCTCCCAGAGGACCGAGGTTCAATTTCCAGTACCCACAGAGTGGCTCACAACCATCTGTAACCCAAGTTCAAAGGTAACTTATGGGAGAAAAGGGTTTATTTCAGCTTACACATCCAGGCCGAGGTCCTTCATTGAGGAAATTCGGAGCAGGAACTGAAGCAGAAACCATGAAGGAACACCGATTCTTGCCTTGTTCACTGGCTCATGCTCAACTAGATTCTTATACAATCAGGACCACCTGTGTAGGGAATTGGCGCCCCCCACAGTGGGCTGGGTCCTCTCACATCAGTCCTCAATACGGACAGTCTCTCACAGGCATGGCCACAGGTTAATTTGACAACGACGATTCTTCAGTTGAGATTTCTTCTTCCCAAGTGACTCTAGGTTGTGTCAAGTTCACAGTAAAAACTAACCATTCCAAGCTTTTAATTAATTAACTGGTTAGTTAATTAATAATTGATATGTGCCTTATGCTGCGTGACCATGGCAGAGTAGTTTAGGCTACCTGCCAGGGAATGAGACTCCATGCAAATGTGACAGTAGTCAGTCTAGGTTGCCTCTAGGTTGCAGGGGAGCCGTGGCTGGCTTCGTTCTTATTTTGGTGTAGCCCTCTCTAGGCCTGGGTTCTCTAACAATTAGCTGTGTGAACCAATTAAACAACCCCATTTTTTGTTTGTTTGTTTTTTGTTTTTGTTTTTTTAAGACAGGGTTTCTCTGTACAGTCCTGGCTGTCCTGGGACTTTCTCTATAGACCAGGCTGGTCTTGAACTCAGAGATCCACCTATCTCTGCCTTTTGAGTGGTAGGATTAAAGGCGTGCACCACCACCACCCAGCTATAATCTCATCTTTTCAAATTTGGCTGCAGCTAGACTCTCTGAGGATATTCCATCACTCCCACAGCCAGGTGTCATCTCCTGAGAGTCCAGTCAGGTGTTCTGGGAGGGGCCTGGGTGCCAGCAGCTTATAGAAGCCCTCGGTTGATTGTAACGTGCAGCCAGGGCCTGGGATAGCCTGTCTGTCCCTGAATCCAGGCACCCACCTCTAGGATGGAGCTCCTGGGCGGGCCACCCACGCCTGGAGGTGCACAGTCTCAGATGAGGTGACCCACACAAGGTGCCCAGGGCCAGGAAGCCCTCAGTGAGTACCCTCAGCACTGGACTTCAGGCCAGACCGGTGGGTGGCTTTCCACTGCCCCATGCTGTATAACCATTTAAAAATGCCTCAGAGTGAAGAGGGAGGCCCCATAGGCACTGACATAGCAATGTTTTCTCAGGAGCATCGAAACCAAACTTCTCAAGCTCTGGGGAGACAGAAGACAGGGTCTGCTCAGCAGTCTGTGTCCCTCGGGCTTTGTGTGTGGAGTCCTGGCGTCACGCTCAAAGCTCTGAGCAGGCACCTGAGCCAATGTCACCTTGACAGTTGAGTGTTTTTCTCCCTGTACCACATGCTGTACAGTTACACAAGAAACTGCCTATGTACGGTTATTCTGCTCTGAGAGGCAGCACAGAATTCCACCCACCCCGCCCCGTCCCCACTCCACAGACTTTTCATAGAGAAGAGAGGCACTGTGGTTTACCAGGACACCCGGGCTTCCTGCAGTAGCTCTGAGTTTTAAATAACCGCCTGCCTCTTCCATGCTCAGTGAAGCTGATGTTCCTTTGTCCCAGAGAGAAACAGCTTTGTCACCCTCAGATACTTCCGGAGGAGAACACAGAGGCTTTGAGTCTAATGATCAGGAATTTGGGAGGTAGTCAGGCCAGTTCAGCTTCCACAGCCTGTCCTTGCGCTCTGTGAAGAAACGGGGACAATTGTAACAGGGCCTCAGACCTTAGCCTAACTGACTCCATGAAAGTACCATTCAGCCCACAGCACCATTTACCAAAACTAAAACAAAGACTTAATCCACCCAAGTTCATGGTTCTGGGAAAATCCCTAATGTACTAATTTTGCTTCTTAACTCCCATTGTTCTGCTTCTGGCTAACTGTTTTTGTTAACTTAAGTATGTCAACCCCAATTATTATTATTATTATTATTATTATTATTATTATTATTATTATTAT